GGCCAGAGAGCGCCCGCCCGCTCCGGGCCCTGGGCGCGATGCGAGTCCTCGGCAGAGGAGGCCTGGGCGGGAGGGCGGTGCAGGCGTCGTGGGCTAAAGGAACCCCGCGGGGAAAGGTTTCTTGCAGCTCCTCGCACAGAGGGGGCCAAGGACCCCTGGAAGATCCAGATCGGTGCTTAAACACTGCCAAGATTTTGAAATGAAACCATTGGAAATAGAACTTTGAGTTGGGCCTTGCCCTTGTGCAATACAGTTATAGCATGTTTGATGTTTCTTGTGTGCAGCTGGGTCCTGTGGTGGCCGTAGACACTAAACTACGTTTGCTTAAAAATAACATCCTAGGGAGGGCTGATAGTACAACTGGAAACACTGTAATGGTAATTTTTCATTAGAAAACAGGAAGCCACTTGTACACTACTTGTACTGTAGTTGAGATTAAAAGAATTGGATGCAGTTTGCATGGCATGTCCTTGAGCAAAAGAAATGCTGCTCTGGCACTTGTAGTTGTGATACAAGAGATGAAAATAAATATTCTTCTAATTGTTTAGATAGTCAGTCTAAATTCAGTCACCATAGAGGCTGGTTGCTCAGTATTCCTGGCACTGGTATTCGCTTCCAATAAACAAAACAGACCTTTGTATGTGTGTGTTTCCTTTGCCACTGTTAGTTAAATCTTTAAATATCAGCATTCACTGTATATTTGGAGATCATAAAACTCTTTCGTTACTTTAAAGTTACCTTGCAGCGTTATAGCTGAAAATTCTTATTGTTACAAAACTGTCATAGCTAATACCAATGGCAGTGATGGCTTGTTTGGAGTCTTGCAGGCTTTGCGTCCTTCACGTCTATAGACCTGACACGGTTCTTGCAATACAAGAAAGATACTATTTATATGTGATCTCCAGGAGCCATTTACAGCCGGAATAAGGACCAACGCTGGAAGCTTGTAGAAAAAATCTTTCCCTCTTTTGATTTTTCTCATGTGCTCACCTTGATAAAGCTAGCTCAGTCTACTGGTGTGTTTATTTTTGTAAGCCCACAAGTTCAATTTCAAATTCTGTGTTCTGCCATTTACCTACTGGTTACTATGACTGTTTTTCTGATCCTTGTGTGGCATGAGAAGCTTTATATTATGTTATTTTGGAGTACTCCTTCAACTATGTGATTGTATTTTTTTTTTTGGTCACAAAACTGGACAAAACACCCTATGTTTAAATATAGGTAAACTAAACTTTACTTGCTTCATTTTACTTTTATTATGGGTAAGATCATATCATCCCCACAGTAAAATCTATAATCAGCCCATGAAATAATAGTTCCAGGATATGCAGAACCACTTCAAAATTACATGTGGCCCAGCTGGAAGAAGGGAACTGGTGCTACATGTTGTTACTCCAATAAAAAGAAAGTGTTTTGAAACCTGGCATAGATAAATGACTGAATAAAAAATTTAACACAGAAAAGGAAATTATGATCCAATAGAAAGCACAGGGAAAATTAGATGATTAGGAATTAATTTTCAGAACTAGATTTTTTTTGAGTAAATTAATAACTGCAGCGCCCTGCAAACTATATCACTAATGTCCATAACCTCCCTGTTTGAAAAGAGGAGAGGAAAAAAAAATGGCAGTAGCAGTATAATAGTAACTTTTTTTCTTAGAAATTTTCCTTGATAATGCAGCCAAAAGCATGTAGAACTATTCTTCGAATTATGCCATCTTTTTTTTTTTTTCTCCTCCTTCACTAAATATTTTCAAAACTCCTTTTGGAGGAGGTCATTTAACAGTATATTCAGGTGTATGACTGAGTTGGAAGTTGATTTATATTTTTAAAATAAGCTGTGCAACAAGTATTTCTTAATCATGCATAAGGTACGTTTTCATTGTAAAATGAAAGTATTTCAGCTTATCAAAATGAAGACACTCATTTCTTATTTCTTATTTTTATTGCTTTTACAAAAGTATGGAGGTTACAGTGGTCAGATGCCTGGAATGCCAATGACAATAGGACAGTCAATGCCAGGAGCAGTACCAAATACGCCTTATGGTGCATACTCTGGATATTCTGCATATTCTGGTATTTACTCTGTTGCTGCTGACCCCATGTGGACTTACTTCAGTGCCATTGCTGGACAGGTAAGATAATATAAACAATACAATTAAATAATTAGCTGTCAAAGCAATCCTAGTAAAGTTTTGTTTTGTGTTTTTTTCTTAAAAAGAAATATCTTAGTATAGTATTCTCAGTAACAATCGTTCATCTTCAGGTAAAGTGTAGTATTCAGCACTAACTGTAACTATAGTTGGCACTAGAGTTCATAGTAGTACGGACTTGATAGACGTGTTTCTATTAATAAGCTAAAATTTATCAAAATATATTGGCAGTTCACCTTCAGATTCTCACTGCATTCTTGAAATAATGTTTCTTCTTTAGATTCTCTGTATGTGTGAGTGTCATAGTTCTGTATGCAGATAGCAGAACTTAAAAAACCAGCTCTGAAATTCTGAGACTAGAATTTCAATTAACTTTGTTCTATACTACATACAGAAATTGGGTAGGAAAGTATAATGCAAGAATATGACTTCACAGGTTAGCAACCCAAGGAACTAGAGTCTCCAAAATGGATGCTACTTGAATTGTAGGGTATTTCTTTTGGCATAAGGTCTTAAGTCTAACTTCTGTGTTCTGTAAGATTGTACAGTTTTTAGAGTGGAGGGTGGGCTCATAAATGTCCTGAGACTAGACCTATTTTTTGTGTAGGATGTGCTAGCTTTGAAAAGTTACATGTTGTTTAAAAAAGATGTTAAATACTGCAGATATTTTTATAATGTTAGCAGACAGTGATAAAAGAGTTGCTGTACCCCAGGAGTCTGCCTTAGTATTTGTTATGGCTCTGAAATTGGTATGTTAATAAGAGCGTTGCAATGTCACATGATAAAAGGAGTAACAGGGAGTTTTGTAGTTCAGTATGGGGGAAATAGACCAATGGGGGTTGGCAAGGATTCACAGAGGTCATGTGCACAGCCCCACAGGTATACTAGATGGTTCTGGGTTTTGTGGTGCCAATATGCACCTTCTCAAGAGCGTGGATCTGCAGAAGCAATGTATTTGAAGATCTCCAGTTACAGGTGAGTGACCTTCTTTTATAGATTAGAGGGGCTGCTTTTTTCTTTTGCCATCTTAAGTTGCATAGGCTCTGGACCTCAGTACTTCTGTCTGGTTTTGTTTTGTGCTGCCTTGACTCTGTCTAGCTAACTACTTCTTTATGCTTCATTTCTCGGTTGGTGTGGAACAGTTTTTTTTGTTTTTTTTTTTTGTTTTTCTCTCTCATTTTACGATGAGTTGTATCCTCCCCTTGTCCTCACTAACTTGTGAAAACGGGGACAGATGGAAGAAGGCAATTGTGCTTGTCTGTTGCTGTATGCACTGCATTTATCAGATACTCAGATTTTCAGATACTGATTTGTCAGATACTTCTGAGAACTGGAATTTTTTTAGAACACCTGAACAGCTAAGCTGTACTTATAATAAAATTTGTTTTTTTTCTTGAATTCTTCTTTTCCTGAATGCTCAGAGTGTTGTGACATGTTTAGGATGAATATGTGTAAGCGAGGAGGGCAGTGAGGGTAGTGAGGCTTAATTGTGTGGTATTGATAGCACTTTCTTACAATTTCCTTTGAAATTGACATTTGAATTTTATTGGTTTCAGGCTAGATAGATCTGTATTTTACAGCTGAGTTGAAGACATGTCTGAACAGTTTGAGTAATGTGTATCATCTAAAATTGATGCTGCTGAAAATAGTAAACGAAGTATTGCTTCTTGTCTGGTTACTGAAATAATATTAGAATTAAATCCCAAATTGCGTTCCTGGAAAGGCACTAGGCTTGAGTGCCTTCCTTTTTATCCTGAGCTTGAGTCATATCCTAATCCCTGGGCATAAATGTGAGGCTTGTGGTTGCAATGCTAGATGTTCTGGAGACATGAAAGTCTTGTTTTCGATGTTTGTGAGAAGATAATTGAACTGCCTTGGGTAGACCCAACAGAGGTGCTGATTGGGATTCTGTCCCTTTCCCAGTGCTGTGTTAGAACTACAGTGAGCAGCTGAAAGGGTCCTGTGGTTGTGAGAAGCGCTTCAAACAGTTCTCAAAAGTCCTTTCTTAACAGGTGCAACAAGTGGTTGCATCTGCTTTCTTATTAGGTAACCGAATTGTGCTGATGGGAGGGGGAAGTGACAAAAATAAAGTATGCTTTTTTTTTTTTTTCTCTGCCTGCCCTGTAAATGGAGAGAAGTCAGACAAGCAGTTTTTTTGACCCATGTGTATACTTTATTCAGTGCTATGTTACCTGACTAGCTAGTAATGAAATGAGAAGAAAAGTGCTAGCTTACTTTTTGGATTGAGGACTGTTCTATTCAGCTATCTGTCTGCAATACTTAATGGGACTGATAGCTGAAAAGACAAGTGACTTAAAATCTCTTCACACTCAAAATAAGTTCCTCTTTTCTCTAAATTCTCAAATTGAGACAGACAGAAGACATTCCTGTCATGAGTTACCTTAAAACAATGTTAGTTCAAATAAACTTTTCTAGCCTTCAGAAGTCCTTGTTCTGTGAAGAACTTTCTCCAAAATATTTTAACTTGATAATACTGCTAAAGGAGCGCAAAATTTGATGGTAGGGACTTTCCAATATGTCTTGAAGGAAAATCTTCAAGGGAAGATGAAAGTAAAACTTGGATATTTGTGTGCCATTTAAACTTGCATTGTTTGTTTTTAAAAAAAAAAAAAAAGTTTGGCAAAAGAGCTAACTTTATGTAATTCTAAAAGATTGAAGTGAGCAGATTCCGTAACGGTGACACTGCTCTTTAAATCCTAGGAAGTAATTTGGGTTTAGCTATCAATAAGCCATATTCTTGTCCACTAGTAGTGACATGAGGTGTGCTTCATTTTTAAGTTACAGCAATAACATGATAGCTATGTTACTTTTTTTTTCTTTCACTCTAACTTTCACAACTGTCCTATGAAAGTTTTTGAGGCCGAGATGAATCTTGGTCTGAAGGCATGATCTCTCCAGGATTTCACGCTCGTCAAATGAGGTTGTTTCGCTCTGCAGAACACAGAGAATTTAGTGTCGGTTTGCTCCCTTGTTAAAACAGGCTTGCTTCCTTCACCAGTGACCATTGGCAATATTTACAGTTTTTGTATGCTAGTCTGCATCATCCTTGTCACAATCAGTGGTATACCCAAGCGCTCTACTGGAACTCCTATTACAATATGGGTTACTGGTGTGTGCCATTTCATGTCTGTTTTAAGTGCAATATCTTTTTTTGCAACATGACAAAACCTTGATGCTTGTATAGTGTTTCTTCCTTGCATGAATCTGTGTAATGCAGTATGAGTGAAGTGATAGAAATTTGTTTTTTTTGTGGGCCCTTTCAAAAAAACTTAACTAAGCACTTTTTGTTTTTTATAGAGAAATCTTTCTTAAATATAATACTATAGTAAACTTAGTTTTTTGTAGGGGGAATACACAATCACTCCTGAAGTACGAGCGAGGCACATAATCACAATCTGTCATCTACCATGTAGCAAGACCAGTGGGGTGATGGAAGCGCTGGCCTTGGCTCTCAAAGAACTGAGCAGGTAGTTCTGAAATTCACAGAAGTATGGGAATTTAATTGCATTTTGTGGGAAGGATGAAATATATCTGAATCTCATTGTACTTACAGTTTGTCTTTAAGATTCAGAAGTGTGATCACCTCATTACAATTGAAGTTATTTAGTTCACTTCTTTACTTCTCTTTTTGTGTGAGCTTATACCCATTGAAAACTGTCCCCCTTACATTTTTGAGAGAGGCATGGTGCTGTGGAGACATTCTACCTGGGTTGAGTGTGGGAGGATCAAAAGTGAGCATCCTAATTTTGCACTTGAATAAGGCAAATGGTAAATGAAGAACATGATGTTTCTGGGTAGTATACAGAATACTACTAATCCTCCTTTACTACTGCAGTGGGTGAAATTTGGCTTTCCATTAACAGTTGCAAACAGCCTCTTCTCATACTCTTCAAAATGAAAATGTTTCCTCTGCTCCCTAGAGGCATGCAGCTTGAAAGCAAGTTATCTTTAGGAAGAATGAAGTTAATATCACTGAGGAATTTGTGTGGGTCTGCTGTCTTCATGGTCTTAACTTGCACAGTCCTGAAAAGATGATGTAGGAAGGATGAAAGCTAGGTACAACATCTTGGGAAGGGAAGGGAGGGGAAAATAACTTCAAACTCTTCATGGGACAAGCTCACCAAATATTGGTCCTTCCTCTTCTAAGACTTTACCTTTTTGTTTTTTATTTATTTTTAAATAAATATCTTAGTGACAACTATGGTATGGGAAAGTTTGACTTGTATCCAATGTTTTCACACTTAAAGTTTTACATGAGTCCCGTGATAGTTCAAAAACTACTGTTTTTCTAAAATTTCCTTAAGATGTGAATTTGCTGAAAAGTGTTGCTTTTCTTATGTGCAGCCACTGTCATCAATTACACTCAGTGACCACTCCAAAATTGAGTTTTTCTCAAGCTAGTGTTGAGCTCCAAGGAAATGGAGTCCAGCCAGTAAGGCTTTTCTACGAATCCCTCAGAGAAGTCAGAAGAGCTCGGTTTAAATTCCTCTATGTTCAGTTATAAATGAAGGGGATCTTGTTATTAATTCATTTCATGGGATGCTGGCTTGAGTTGTTTTCAGAATATCTCATATGGATGTTCCCAGAACTTATTTTCTGATTTTTGAATCTTCGGAGGACTGATGTGTGTATATTTGGATGTTTTGGTTTTTGATTGGTCTTTGTACCTTGCTCTGGTTTGTTATTCCACTCTGTTTACAATTGGTGTTAGCAAAGAAAGAAGGGAAACAAGTGTTCAGGATTTCTTTTGTTTTGGGTTTTTTTATATGTGCACCAAAAACAAGTTAGAGACTGTGGTGCTGAATACCAGATAGGTGCAAGAAAGGGTACAGATAAAATAATACTGACTAACAAATGAAGCTTCTCTGGGTTACAAAATGTGTATTTTGGACAGAACAAAGCTGAGTGCTTTCTATTTATTGCCTTTAAAACAGCAAAATCCCAATTCACTCTGCCTTGATGCACCTTGTGTGCATGTATACTGGAGACACCTAAACCACTAATAAAATGCAGTTGTGCACATGTCAGTATTATTTTTGAGGAACATGAATGTTGTATTTTTTTGTAAATGACCAAGTGAATAATTTCGTTGCTCAATATGTTAATATTTGTCAGCTGAGCTGCATTAACTTAGCTCATGCCTTTCTGAGCCTGTGTTAGTAGAGAAGTAAAACGTGTTAATTTAAACCATTATGAAGTTCACTTTTGTGTCTTAACTTTTGCACTTTGTAAGACTGTCTTACTTCTCAGTTGCAGCAGGCTAAAATAATTATTCAGTGGCAAACAGCAGTAGCTTGTTTGTGATACAAAGAAAGATTCCAGAAAAGTTGTAAGCAGCACCCCGAAGGAGTTAATAAGGAAAGCAAAACTGATATTCAGTTAAACTATAGAAATAAAAGGATAGCTGGAATGTAATTGCCCATGCTGGTTTAAGAGTAACATCCCTGCACTAGGCAAAGGTATGGCAACAAGTATGTAGGTGGTTTCTAAAGTACCAAAAGAATCACAGAATGGTTGAGGTTGGAAGAGACCTCTGGAGGTCATCTAGTCCAACCCCCCCTGCTCAAGCAGGGTCCTCTAGAGCATATTTCCCAGGATCGCATCCAGACGGGTTTTGAATATCTCCAGGGAAGGAGACTCCACTACCTCATGGGCAACCTGTTCCAGAAGATGCAATAGGAAAAGGAAAAGCATCTCTTAATTATTTCAAAATGGAGATGCTGGTGATTTGGAAGGCACTGTGATATCAAGTACTTAAAACAATAGAAAGCCTATTAATCAGCAAGTTGATCAAAATCATCTTCATATGTAAATTCTACATTTAAAAAATACCTTACTAGTGCTTTGGAGTATGTTCGGGAGTGTTTAATTATCCATTTAGCGTCTCACTTCCGCTAATTCGCTGGAAGCATAGAATTCTACTTACTGCTTCTGATTTAGATCAGGTGCTCTTCTGTTATAGTAACTTCTTAACAATGTAAGAATGTTTAGGTGTCAGTACAAATATCTAATGCATTAGTAAGCACAGATAAGTTTTTGTAAGTTAAGTGTGTTCTCAAGTGTGACAAATGTATGCATTTGTTCTACAGGATGGAAAAGTGGATGCTGAAGAACTACAGAGATGTCTACTGCAGTCTGGAATCAGTGGGACCTATTCTCGTAAGATACTGAATGTTATGCTATGGCAGACTGGTTATCTCTTATTTCTCAATACCGCTTTTGTGGATGTCATTTCTGTTCTTACTTTGTTTCTTGTCAAGTAGGAGACTTTGGCTTCTTTCTTTTTTTGGCGATGTCTGGCAGTGTTGGCATTTCACTCTGAAGGAACTGATTTCATCTGCTGGTTCTGAAGATCAGCATGTATGCTAGCATATCTGTACAGACTTTCAGTGCACGTTCTTCTGACTGTTTTCCTCAGCTCAACAATAATAAGACTAGAATACATTTTTCCACTCAAAGATTTGTTCCATATTTAGTTGGATAACACATGTGCAAATAACAGGCTCATGTTCCAGACTTGCTCAGTCTTCCATGTTTTATAACGGTGCTAGCTTTTAGCTCTGTTTCCTGAGATACATTTTTAATAATGCTCTTATGGTTCTTGGTATTATGTTTTGAAAGGTATAGCTTAATACTGGAGAGGTTATCACCACTGCCTTGCTGACTGTCTTCTGAGGTGCAGAGTTGAGAAGGCTGGGTTTTTATGCCTCATCTATTTTTGTCACCCTTGAAAACTAAGTCATGATAGTAACAGCACTTCTCCAAGAAAGAACAGTTAATTTATTGGTTCATCCTTTTAGTAGACCTACTAAAAATTTTGGGGTATTTTTAGTGTTCTCCTTTGTTTTCCCCTTGCTTTCAAAAACATGAATTCATGGTCATTGTTACTGCTGTAACTTAAGTATGAAAAATGATACTAATGATAAACATTTTTTAAATTTTAACTATCCTTTCAGCATTCACTCTGGAAACTTGCAGAGTTATGATATCCATGCTGGATGTATCCTTATATACACATATTATGACTTTAGTGGAGTCTCGGTATCACTTTGAACCTGTTTATGGAAAAAGTCGAATTTTAAATTGCTTAAACTCACTTTTGAATACTGGTCTTGTTTCAGCGTTTATAATGGGATGTAAACAGTGATTGTAGAGGTGTATTATCTTTAACCACACTAGCTGCTTTATTTGACTTGTATGTCTTGCATTTCATAACTTTACAGAGTATCTTCATTTTTGTTAAACTGACCAAATTCTTGTTTAAGTTATTCTTATTAACTGAAATAAACAGAGAGATTATACAGGAAAAATGGGATTTAATGAATTTAAAGAGCTCTGGGCAGCTCTCAATGCCTGGAAGCAAAGCTTCATGATGATTGATAGAGATCGAAATGGGACTGTGGAACTTTATGAATTAACTCAAGTCATTGCAGCTATGGGTAAGCAAGCATGGAGGTTTTTTCACAAACTTTAATTTCCATTTTTATACAGTTCATGTTGTACTAGTAAGATAAATGGCAGATTACAATTTAAAATGTTGGAAATAGGATCAGATTTTGTGGCTGAGTGCCATATTGCTGCTTAAATGTCATATATGGTCTCTGAATTGCACACTCTCCAATTAGGTTAGAGAGGAGGGAGAACTCAACATTTTTACTGATGGGTTTTGTAGAGAATTGTTTTCCTTACACAACCTGTCTTCCCGTTTGAAAAGAGATCGATCTTCGTTTTAAATAACAGAAGAGATATATGTGAGATTTAAGACCTGGACATTGAAGGGAATAAAATATCCAATGAAACTTTTGGTCTTATTTATTTATTTTAATTCTTTTTGAATGTATATATTAACCTTTTCTATACAAAATGAGAGATGAGACTTCCTCCGAGTATATTGTCCTTAGACAATAGGTAGATGATAGAAGTGCAATCTCCTTAAGCAAACAACGTTTCTGAAGAGTGTAAAGGGGTACTCGGAAGCTGTAACAAATCTGGATGGTGATACAGCATAGGTGCATAATCATGCTTTTTCTTTGGAGTCAGATTTAGACTGCCTCTAAAAATTGTTCTTAGTTTACAATCTTAGGTGTTAGCTATAACAACATATTTTTCTATTTTCTGTACTGAAAGCATCGCAGCAGCAGTATAAACTAGTATTTAGCTAATGGATTTCATATCTTCATAAAATTTAACTTGTTTGACAGGCATTGATAGGCTGGTATCTATTTTTTTGATGGCTTTTTAGAATTACATTTTGTTAGAATAGCATATATTTTGCGTGGGATGCTACATGTAAATATATCCTGCAAGGGTTAGAGGCTGCTGCCGGCATCATTAATGTTGAGAGAATTAGTTTTCTGTTTTCTGTTGAGTCATGTTAAGCAGGCATTAACTGTACTGTTGTAATTGATCCTGAATGAAATGATGCTAGGATGAAAGGGGAGCATGAAAGTGAGGCTGAGTTCTAGTGGAAATGTCTGGTTTCATGCTGCTAATTTCTGATTCAGATAAACACCTGGAAAAAAATTAAATGATAAATAAATGATTCTTTCTTCACCTGTTTGTTTTTGTTTGTCTGTTTTCTCCTTCAGGGCAATGATAGATGGCTGAAATCTAGAACTTCTAACTTTTATCTCTAGGTTACAGGTTGAGTCCACAAACACTGACCGCTATTGTAAAACGTTACAGCAAAAATGGCAGAATCTTTTTTGATGACTATGTAGCATGCTGTGTGAAGCTACGGACATTGACAGGTATCTTGCTTTCTAAAATAGTTCATAATTGCATAGTATACTTTATCTGTTCAGCTAAATATGATAGCTGTATGAAAGTCTAATTTGGAGGCTTTGGTGTATACTTCAGTTTAAATTGTTAAAGTAATGGTTTAACAAGGTCCAAGTTTCGGGGAGGATATTTTATGCAGTGTTCGTTATAGCAGAACCCCTTCCTTTGGGCACAGAAAGGAGAGAAATGGTCAATTGGTTCTAAAGCCATGGACTAGTGACTTGAAAACACTGTAAGCAGTAGTTGTAGCTGAACTTGAAAACACTTTGTCTTTGTGTTTTGTAAATAGTTTGTGGAGTGACGCGTAACTCCGGTTTACTCGCATCTTATCCTTTCCTCAGATTTCTTCCGGAGAAGAGACAAGATGCAACAGGGGGTTGTGAATTTTGTATATGATGATGTAAGTATTAACTGTTACAACTTGCCACATGGATGTGATAAAGGTTTTGTTTAAAAATTGTGAACTACAGCAATGTAAGCATTTGAAATCTGAACTTGCATTAAACTTCACAGTTTCTCAAGAAGAAAATTCAGATAAAGGTGTGGCCATCATTCATGATGATGTGTATTTTACTTCATGAATGCTACTGTCTTCAAATAAATCATCAAAACATCTGTAAAGCTCCTTTATCTCAGTCTTAAGGTATAATTCACTTGGCATCTTCATATTAAGAGCATAGTTCTTCTGGTTGATGTTGATTGCTCTCACCTCTTCTGCTGCAGGCTCTACTGAGAATAGTACTGCTTGTACTTGGTATAACTACTTATTACTATGGGAAGTGATTGCTGGATCACCCCAGAAGTTGTCAGTACAATATAGATAGCAAGCTTTAAACTCTTTGGTTGACTATATCACTTTTGGTTGACATGGTTGACATGCTGTAACTAACACTATGAAATGAGATCGAGTGGTGAGCTTTGCTAAAACCCCCAAAGTAAAGTTATTTTCACATGTTAATTGTAGTATTTTATTTTGTTTTCTTTCCCTCCCATACCCTGCTTCTGGCAGGGTGGAAGTAGGCCATTCCTTTTGAATGTCATGGCTAGCATACTAGTGTTAGTCTTGTTTCCAGCATTGCTAAATACTGAATTGTCTGTTACTTCCCCTTGCAGTTCTTGCAGTGCATTATGGCAATCTGAGTGTTGAACTGCTGGAGGAAAAAAGGATCGCCAACCTGTGAAGAGTTTCTGTTTAGAAGAAATTAACAGAACCTGCTGTGAATGGAAGCTATTGCAGAGTTTTTCATCTTTCTGCCTGATAAGTTGTCCACTTTGATGCTTTGGGGTTGTGTGGATTTTTTTTAAATTTTTTTTGTTTAAGTGCGCAGTTCAGACCAATAAATATTTTTTACATTTTTAGTATTTTTAGAAGCATATTTCTTTTATATGTACAAGTGTAGTTCCAGACAAGTAAATTTGTGCTAAGCTCCTGAGCTTATTGAAGAGTAAAAGCTTATGATCAGAAATATAGGCTGCTACTCATATATGGTTAGCTAACTTAAACAAATAGAAAATAAGATAGTCTAAACTTTAATCTGATATAGGTATTTTTCATCAGTGGTAGTATACTGTCTAAGATGGCATGCTCTGAAGAGCTGTGGGGATGTGGACAAACTGAAACAGTGGATTTTATTTAAAAAGCAAAATATTCTAGGTAAAACTTTCCCATTCCCCCATCTTGTTGTAGTTCAGTGGGTGTTTTTGTTTTTGTTTTTTATGAGGCAAGCTATTTGTCTGTATATAGATCAGATAATACTCTTCAAGTACAGCTTTAGTTACCTTCAGCTGACTTTTTTTTTATCCACCTAATGCTTCTCCCCAAGGAAATTTGGATTTTTGTCAGGGTTTGGCTTATCTTGGAACCTTTCAATGACTTCATCTAGATCAGTAAAATCATTGGCCGAATAGACCTTATGTGCTAAACCCACTCCATGCTTTTCTCTAAATTCTCTTAAACAAAATGTTTTGGGGAATAGAAATGTCTAGCTGGATGATAGATACTTAACAGCACTCAACCAAAATCATTTGCGAAAATGCGTGGGCCTCAATGGCAAATGATTTTATTAGCTCCAATCGCAAAATCTGGGTATCTTTTGAATTCCTGCATCAGTGAACTTGAGGGATTAGACATGGATATACCTTCTAATTTTACTGGAAGGATGGAGCTTGATGTAATGTACTGAGATTGCTGTGTGTGTAGGAAATTTGAAAAGACCTAATCTTGCGGCTTTTTTTTTTTTTTTCGTGTCTTTGTGTGGTTCAAGCCATTAAGTGGTGTCCTATGTAATCCTGTGCTTTTTACACTTACTCCTGTAGTGTTACTGAATGTAATTTGGGAATGATTTTGCTCAGTATTTTTGTTACTGAAATGTATGCAACCTTTTTAGATCCCTGTTAGAGATGTTTGCATTACAGTAACTAAACTCAAGTTGGTCACAAATAGTCACATCTTGTTGTTCATGACTGAAATAAGTATGATACATTTATTTGCATATATTTAGGCTTCTTGCAAATATGTTTTCATGGTGATGTAAAGTACTGAATAGTATGCTTGATGTACAAGTGCTTTTATTTGTACAGTAAAGAATTTTCCAAGTCATCCTGGCGATTTTTTCTGGAAGCAAAATATTCCGGTAGTGTCATTAACTGTATTATACAAAAACCTGTTATGCAGACAGGATTTTCTGCCATTTATAGTAGTTAACTTGGTCTAGATAAAATACTTATCTGAACTTTCTTTGTATTTCCAACTTCACAATATCATAGTTTCAGTATATAAAATGTAAAAAAAACCGCATAAAGGGGGCCAAACGTGTCCTTTGGGAGGCTTTAATTTGGTCCATCTAATTTCCATTCCAAAGAGAGTAGCCATATTCTGCATTCATTAATAATCAATGAACTTCCCAAGTGGGCATTAAAAAAACCAAGCAGCTAGATGAAGAAAAATGTTTTTTTATGAATAATGTAATTCCATCTACTAGTCATACATAGATGTACAGTGAGGAAAAAGTAAGCTTGCCGCAGTGATACTTTCATGCAATTACAAGGATCAGGACATGCTCCTTTAATGTCACTGACAAAACTTAGTGTTGTGATGATTTACATGTGATCTGTTCTGAGAACCTTATTTTTTCTCCTATAAGCTATTTGTTGGTTAACTTCTATTATTTTCTTTTCAAGCCTAGAAAAAAATTGACGTGAAGAATAGGCATGGCATATAATTGACTTATGGACCACTGTATGTAATTAAGTATATATTATTCCCCATGAAACTTAAGGAGATTTAGATTCAGCATAAACGCTACAAGTCATCCTGCATGCTCTTTGTATTCCAGCTAGGTAAGAAACTACTTATTCATTCTGTGTCTGGACAGCTATTGAAAGTGTGTTAATTGCTGCATACCGAAACTGTCTCAAATCTGAATCAGCCTTAAACTTACTAGTATTTTCATTAAAATTTGACTTTAAATTTGGAAGCGAGACTGTGCTCCTTGTTATTTGTACGTAGCTGCTATATACTGTAGATCAAACAAGTACCTCCACCTGTATTTTAATGAGCATTTTCATTAATGATAATGAGGTAAGAGGTTAGTAAAGTAAGAAATGGAGAACATCTAGTTTGTCTTGGGTTGCATGTTGCTTTGCCATTGGGGGCAGAGTTCCTCCAGAAAGAGTAAATATGTATGACTGCAACCATTATGAGCAGCTGCACATAAAATGTGTGTTTGAATAAGGTGTCACAAATTTATTCAAAGTTTTTTTTTGTTTTTTTTAAAAAAAAAAGTAGCTAGTGTTCATGACAGACTCAGCATACTGGTCTTGCTTATCAGATCCGTTTTGCAGTTGCTTCTGTTAGGGAATATAGACACTAGATCAGTATTTCCTCCTTTGCTAGTTACTATAATGACCTTGGTATACCATTGTTAACTCATACTGAGTCTGGACACTTTGTGGAAAAACTAGAGGACAGTTATCTCTTTGATTTGAGTAGAGTTAATCTGGGCCTAACCAAGAATAGGGGTGAGATTTGGCAGCATGTTTCTACAAGTAGTATTCTGGTGAAGTATAGCCAGTGTGGTAGCAGGGCTCAGTAACAACAATCCTCTCTCATTTTCAGAAATGCTCAGTGCTGAACTTCAAAACTATTAGTCTCCATGAAAGACAAGATCAAGCTCTTTGAGAATCAGATCATAAGAGGAATGTTTGGCTGCTTCCAATTGCCTTTTTAAATGCATAACACTGTTTAATTGTGACTGTTGGTATGCCTAATCATCTAGGCCATCGTTTCCTTGCTTACAGAAATATCTTGTAACTAGAGGTTTCAAACTATTTGAAGAGTAAGTACTTGCCTTTGAGTTGCAATTAGCTTCAGTTAGGTTTGCCCCATATTTTCTCTGTCCTTCTGTGAAGGATTAGGATGTTGAAAGATACTACACTTCAATATCTACTGTTTATCTTTGGCAGTGAGACATATCCTCCAGCTCTTGTGGAAATCCTAAGTAATACTAAACTTTTTTTTTTTTTAATGGCTTGGTTTTGTGCAAGCTGAAAGAATGCTAAAATAATAGAATTACCCTATTCTAAAAGCCTATCTGAATGAAAAACTAAAAGTACTACCTAGAGAATAATAGATTATTCTGTATTAGCTTCATGCATGGACATCTGATGTCAGGTTAACTATGTAGACTTTTTTTGCCTGAAATTAACTAGAAAAAGTGAGTCATGCTTTGAGCGTCCACAGATGTTGCCCTTCTGCTTTCACTGTTGCCTTATGTACCTGCTTGCACACTCATGCAACAGCCCTAGCATTTGCTAGGGGGAGACATTTTACAGAAGTCACTTTGATTAAAATAACAAAAATATCGCTATTAATTATTTATCTGAGACTGAATACAGGGCCTAAAGAAATCATAATCCAAAAATATAGCTTTCTAACTTCTGTGTTTTAGCTATGTGAGGTTTCCTTTCTTATAAGATGACTTGTTTAAATATTACAATTTGTTATACTTTCATTTGACCTCTTACAAACATCAGTGGAACAAAACAGACTCTTACTCTTAATTTCCAGCATATGGTTCATTTATGCTATACTTGCAATTCTTTACCTATTACATTTAAGACCACTTGTGTGTCACATTTTATGCTGTCTGTTCCTTTCCATCATTTCTTCCACCCTGCCAAAATTTGACTGGATTTTAGTCAGTTTCAGGTGCCTGGATATATTTATATATTCCCATGCAGCAGTACAGGCTGGGGGTTGACCTGCTGGAAAGCAGCTCTGCTGAGAAGGACCTGGGAGTCCTGGTGGACAACAAGTTAAACATGAGGCAGCAATGTGCCCTTGTGGCCAAGAAGGCCAATGGTATCCTGGGGTGCCTTAGGGAGAGTGTTGCCAGCAGGTCGAGGGAGGTGATCCTGCCCCTCTACTCAGCCCTGGTGAGGCCTCCCCTGGAGTACTGTGTCCAATTCTGAGCTCCCCAGTACAAGAGAGACATGGCGCTACTGGAGAGAGTCCAGTGGAGGGCTACAAAGATGATGAAGGGACTGGAGCATCTCTCCTATGAAGAAAGGCTGAGGGAGCTGGGCCTGTTCAGCCTGGAGAAGAGAAGACTGAGAGGTGATCTGATCACTGGGTATAAGTATCTGAAGGGGGAGTGTCAAGAGGATGAGGCCAGTCTCTTCTCCGTGGTGGCTAGCAACAGGACAAGAGGCAACGGGCAGAAACTGAACCACAGGAAGTTCCACCTAAACCTGAGAAAAAACTTCTTCACTGTGAGGGTGACAGAGCACTGGAACAGGTTGCTCAGAGAGGTAGTGGAGTCTCCTTCCCTGGAGATATTCAAAACCCGTCTGGACGTGATCCTGGGAAATATGCTCTAGGTGACCCTGCTTGAGCAGGGGGGGATTGGACTAGATGATCTCCAGAGGTCCCTTCCAACCTGAACGATTCTGTGATTCTGTGATATGCAGGACTGTGAATAATATTGAAATTAATGCTCTGTAGGAATTAATAATTCTGGGAATTGTAGTCTTTTAACAAAAGCAGTTTGCTTTTGCTGAGACAAGATACCATTCAAGATCTTAGAAAAATGTAAGAGGAAGGAAAATAATGTCTATAATATTGTCCCCAAAATGTAAAACCATTAAAAGAGAAGTATTTTAAATTGGCTGCGTCTTAACTATGAACTGCTATGTGTTACTTTTCAGTAGAGCTAGCTTGGAATATATCATGCTTACGTGGAGGAAAAATTATTTTCTTTATTAGATTAAGTCTATCTCAGAGCTATTGAAAAAGTCACTATAATATTGATTCCACTAAAACACTGTGGAAACATCCAAAAGCCCATCTGTTGGTCTGCAGAAGTATTGCTGAAAATTACAAACTGCTGCTCTGTTTAAGACTGAGCAGAGTATATAGGAAAAACAAAAATGATATGCCATATGCAAACACAGGGAGAGCACATTGATGAAAGGAGAGTGTAGGTACCTTCTGGACCCAGGTTCCATTGTGAGGTAAATTTTGGTACTTATCGCTGCTGCTCCCACTGGATTTAATTATTTCTCATTTAAGCTAGCATATGAAAAGAGTCAAACCTTAAATACTATTCACAATATTCACATCTGTTCACAATATAAGAATATTTAACAGAAGAGTATAGAAATATGAAGGCTTCTAATTTGCAGATGCAGTATTACATACAACTTTAATTCAAGGAATCGTCCCTCCTTTCTTGTGGTCTGTCAGTAATCCATT